GGACATGAAAAAGGGTTCCTAGACTCGTTAAACTTTCCCATTGGCCAACCTTGAACATAAACCTACCAAATTCTCAATTATAATATATACATATGTATAACAAAGAATGCATAACCAAATAGTCAATTTCTATTATTGATATTAAATCAGATAATGAATAACCAAATCCTTATTTAATTTGTTAGTGTAAAAACCAAGTTCCTTTTTGTCTTCTTTTTAAACCGCATTCTTTCATATATAACAAATCACTCATTTCTTATTATTTTATTAATATAAATTATCTTATTTTACTAATTGTCATTTCCCTACCTTGTTATTTTATTCAATTATCTTATTTCCCGAAGATTCTTGCGTAAATCAATTTTTAATTATTTTCCTACCTTCTTTTCAGACGAACTCATCCATCAGCCTCAACATCCTCAGGCTCTGTGTTCACTTTGATTGAGATGTTATTATTTGTTTATGTCAAACATTCTGATTCTTCTTTATTGCCAGTCGCATGCAAAGTAATCTCTAAAGCTTTCTCATCAAGTAACAGGCCTATCATGTCTAAAATTATGATTTTAATAAGGGGTTATTACTAATTATGGATTTCACTATTGGCCAATCTAATCCAATCGATTCAGTTCAAATCGATCACACCATTTAACAAATATCTTTTATGGGTAAGCAGGTCCGTTTTGAAGATGACTAACTGAATGAACGGATTGAATTGAATTGTATGTGGTGATGAGAAGTGAATTTTGTATACTTAGGGGGTGTTCTTTTTTTGGGTTTTGAGAGAAGGGAAAGTTGGTCAATGGGATTTTAGTTTTCATTGACCAAGAATTCCATATTCTTTTTTCAGATATATGTGAATATCAGGAAAAATTTATTTTCCTGGGTATCACTTACCCGTGGATAAATAACTTTTCCACCTATGAGGAATGTTGTTAACACTTGAATGAGACAAAAATACCTTTTTTAATAATGGATTTTTATCGCTAAAATGGCCATTGCCTTAATTATTTACATGACAAATAAAAGAATATGGAAAAATTCACTTACTATGTTTCCCAAAAAAAATTACCTAAATAACTGCATTTACCCGAATAAGTAACTTACCGAAAAGCGAATGAGACCTTAGTGTAAAATAATCATGACAATCATTTTTGAACCATTTTGCTTATTACCTACCCTAAAAAGGTAAAATTCTTTATCAGGCCCCCACATAAAAATATTCACCCTCCCCGTCCATAGAGTCCGAACCTATGGTTGGAGCAATTGCCTATCAATATGGTCCTATTTGGGTCCACATATTCGAGGCCATTTAGGAATCTGCTCCAACTCTGACCCGGTTGTCAGAGACCCAATAAACGTGCTTATGTATAAGTAAAGACTTCAGTTTCAGTTAGGGCAACATCGGTTCGAACAGTTTTTATAGCCTTGTATCGAGAATATCTCTGTATTTAGGGAAGATATTCATGATGCAAGGTTGCCGGAGGCTGTTCGCACGGGCTTACCCTGACCGAAGCCGACCTACTTTCTTTGTTTTTACGATAATTTAGTAATTACCGAACAAGGAAATCAGATGGAATTGCTCAATGTTGGACTGAAAACCACAATAGAATTAAGGGGAATAAGTGAAAATGATGAAATTTGTCTGCCCCCATAATATTCTGATGCCCCCCAAGAAAAAATTAAAGAGAGCAGGTATATATTACCGTTATTATACAAATATGCCCAACCTTCAGTTGCCAGGCCTCCATCTCCACCATCAGATCGAACACCCTTTTCCTCCCAGATTTACTAAAATTCAGGGACAAATCTGACATATCCAGTCTGTTAACCTCCCAAGGACAGCCTCCACTCACAAAGCCTTTTTCTACCACATGGCTTGCTATAAATTAGTGTCTGGAAGAAACAACAACCAAGATGATGATTGCAGAAGGTCAAAAATGAATAGGGGTTCGAAGCAGCAATGAATACAATTTATGCTTTAGTGTGAGGATAAGACCTTTGATAGACTGAAATGGCAAAATAAAAACTCATGTAGTAAACCCCACATAAACAGACATGATAAGGCTTTGCTGAGTTGGGTTTTGCTTTCAGAGATGCAAAACAGATTGAACATGACTCCCTCATGATCCTTGCATCTTGACTACTGACTCTGAGAGAGAGACAGCGAACTGGTTCAACCATCTTGAGTACTGACGTTAGTCTGAACTCGAGTTATCTAAGGCCTTAACTCAAAATGGTGGATCAGACCCAACCCAAATTCAGGTCAAGCACAGCCTAACCATAGTCCAAGAAAACAATTTTCCCGCATAAAATGTTAAAAACTCCAGTTTGGTGGTCCGGCCGGGTTGGCGGGTTAAGTTGAGCCGCCCAAGTAGCAGCCTCAATGACGCCAAATAGGAGGGGGGTGCAACCCTCAAGAGAAAATTTCAAATAGAAAACTACGCTCATATTCTCACAAATATCTTCGATAAATTAATTGTTTGAATAGAGACGGGGTAAAGTCTTCATTGGGTGCAAAGTTTGTATCCAAAATTTGTACAATATAATTTTGTCTGTTTTGAACTTACTAGCTAGAAGTGCAAATTTTGCATCCCAAAAGCTTATGCAAAATTTACACCATCTTCTCTCTATTTCAATTATATTCCTTGGCATGGCATAATAAAGTGGTGACCACATCACCTTGCATCAATCCTATCTCATTCGTACCAGCTCCATTTTATTTCATTTAAAGTGGAGGTCACATCATTTTACTTGTTATTTTTTTTCTCATAACCGAAGCAAAAGTAGACTAGAATTTGCACTCAGCCTATTTGCACATCATGCATTTACATTTTGCACCGCTAAAAAACTGAGCCTGAGTGCCCAAACTAATACTAACATAAAGATAATAAAAAATTTATGAAATAGATTAAGTGGGTGGTGGCCAAGACCAAAAAATACAGAAAAAAACTTGAATGAATATGGAAAAAATTAGAAACAAACCAAAATTAAATCAAATCAAAAAAGCCCTAGTAAAGTTTATCCCCCAACCCCCGGAAGAGAGAAATTAAAAAGGAATGTATTAACTTACTGAAATCGAAAGCAATAAGCACATGGATACATGATAAAAATACATATTCTTTGGATCTTCTGCTCTTTCTACATGTCTGCCACCTTCTAATTCTTTTCGATTCATGATAGCCTTCTTGTAAACAGCATTAATTCATATATATATATATATATATATACATATACCAGGTTATGTGATTGATCCAAGCAATGGGGATCTGGGCAAGCGATCGAGTGGTCCTTTCAATTAATCCATCCAATGGTGTGATTCTGCATTGTTTTCTAGATATTGATATCTGTATATATTTAGAAACACATCGTGATCCCAAATTAATAAAGTAGTTAATTTGCACTAGTCCCCTCACAAAAAGCTGAGTTTTATCCACCCAAACATATCTCTCTCTCTCCTCCTTTCTCTTTCTAAGTACAAAAAACATCTTTATTATTCACTCTTTGTAGGTTTATCCTTATTTGCATCTGGGTGCATGGTTCCATGAAGGCACATGGGTGCAGATGCGCCACTAAAGAAATCAATTCAAAAGTTGGAGACAACGACGCTTACAAATGGATCATGGATGGATGGATGGAAAGTGATGAGAGGCGCCGTTGAATTATTGCATTCCTGTTTCTCTTCCGACTTGTACACCACAAAATATGGGCCGGACTGGCTTAAAAATTAAAATTAAACCGGTCGGACCCATTTCAGTAGAGCCAACTAAACTCTGAGTCCACTTCCTTGGCATCCAAAGCTGCATTAGTTTCATCTGAAAAATGGTGGATTCAAACATTTCATATCATCACCATGCATCATAGTCTAATTCTTATATATCCCAATTATATGAGTCAAAATAGTGGTATACCCATTTTAAGTATAAGCTCTTAAATAATTTCTTAATATATACTTAAATCCATGTCCTTTTTGGTTATATATTCTTAGTTATTATATGGATAAAAACATTTGATAGCTAGAAAGGAAAAGATAATTAGGTTATACCCTTTCCATCATATATTCACCCAAATCTCCTATCTTTGCCCAAGAGAATTTGAGAGAGAAAAAGTTTTCTAAGAGAACAAAATGCTTAAAGACAAGCCCACTAACTTTGATGCAAGCTAGTAGGTGCGCATTCTTGTGTGGTGGAACCGTGGAAAGTAATATTCCATGTACCTCAGAGGTGACTTGATTCTATCAACCGATTCACTTGGATTTTATTCTCGGCTGACATTAAAATATGGCTGAACTATGGTCCACGAGGCCCTTAATTAAACCTCAGTAGGCCCTACCCTTAACTATACACGTACACGTGGCCCACCAAATCACTGTTTCTGGCCGTTAAATAGGTATAATTATGGTTGTTGAGGAGAGCAAAAAATAGGAAAAAAATTTCACCATCCTATAAAGTTCAGCATCTTGTTTGGCCCACCACTCCATTATTGTGAAAAGGTGGACTGGCTTAGCTTAAAGCTGAGCTTAATTAATGCTTTATCTTTCTTGCAAACCCATATGAAAATTAATTTTGGGGCGAAGGTATAACATCAATGTTGTGAGAACTTAGAACAGGTTCAACGAAAAAGAGGAAAACTCAATATGTCATGGTTTAATGTTACCAGTTTAACCACTGGTTCAATCATTCAGCTTGCAAAAGGTAAGAATGATATAAAAACGGTAACCCAGAAAGCCGGTTCACTGATTCCAGTCCGGTCCGTTCCGAGTCTGATTATTAGAAGATGGGATTAGGGAGACGTACGAGATATTCAAGCTTCGTTTCATTTGGTCATATATATATGAAGCTGGATCGACTGATTCATTTATTGATGAATGCTAATAATAAAAGACCAGACATGGGGAGGTCCTTCAGTAGCAGGCAGGTTCTTCTTCAGAAGAATGAAATCAAAGCTCTCAGAACTCCTTGCAGAAGTTCTTCTCCATTGACCATTAGAATATAGAAGCAGTCTTGGTGATGAATTGATGTCTCTAATAACTAAACAAACCATGACAAATCTCCCAAACACCTGAACTCAGTAACAACAGGCCCATGTATGGCTAGTTTTCGGTACTGACATCCCAACAGAATTGTTCAGAACGATCACCAGAAAATCCAAACCAAGAAAAGTAAACGGAAATAATGACTGTATTTATGTTTATCTACAAAAAAAGAGAGATCGCTCATCTTTTTGAAATAGCTTCAGAGAAAAAGAACAGACGCATACACACTCTCACACACACTCAAAGACATCAGTTTTGGTCGCTTGGCGTCTCAGAGATGCTCTCCAAATGAGGCCTCCAGACACCGACACGGCCTCGCCTTCGATCCCTTTGTGTAGATATCTTCTCCGACAGGATCTCAGTCAAGTACTGCTCAGAAATGAGAAGCTTGGTAACTGCAATTGAAGAACTCCCGTTGCTCTGCTGTTCTCTCTTCTTCTTCCTCCTTGTTGAACTTGGCTTAGTCTTCTCAGGTGGTGAAGGGGCAGGCACGAGAAAATAAATCTTCCCACGTTGAAGCTCTGCGTCAGGCGGTACAATCACAATTTTTGGAACAACCCCTTCAGCAGACTCGGATGGTGAGGAAGGTTTCCTCAGCACATGCTTTGGGTGTGCCTTCATGATCTCGCCTGCTCGAATTGTCCTGCTGAACTCTTCGACACGGCCATTCGAGTGTACTATCCGAATTACGTCGAGAGACCCACATGGAAGTATGCAGGAGATGCAGCATCTGATACTGTTCTTCATTCCTCCGCTTTCCCTCTAGCTATAACTCCCAAAGTCATTACAGAGGGAGGGTGAGAGAAGATACAGAAAGAAGGAAAAGGAAGAGAAGAAAGTTTTGAAGATTTGTTAATTGGGAAAGAGAATGAATGAATACTTTCCCTCCCTCTCTCTCTCTCTATCTTTTTCTCTATCACTATCTATGAAGTTGGGGCTAATCACCTAAAACTTTGGTAAGAAATGATGCTATTATTATACTTCTTCCTCTCTTTTTTGGAGAATTCTATCTATCTTGCTTAGGATGAAATCCATGGGTTGAATGATTGCACCTCGTTTTGTACTTAATCTTTTGGATATCCATCATTTTGGGGGCCCCCCATCTGGCCATCTCTCCTTACCTTCCCTTATTCAATACAGTACTCGGGATTTCCTACTCACTTTTCCTACCCACTCTCTATCCGCCGTGACGGGTAGAGAGTGGGTAGGAAAAGTGAGCAGGAAATCTGGGCTCCTTGTGGGGAGGGAGCATTATGGGAGACTCGTGCCAGTCACTGATAGGGGATGGCCAAGTAGGCAAATACAAGCACGAAATTATTAAGACTTTGTGGCACGTTTTAATAGGATAACGTGTTGAACTCACTACTTGACACTTGTCATTATATGGTAGGGATGAGACAGCTAGCTAGTATAAGAGATGCATTTGGAGCTATATATTCGTGTGGGGACCTTGTATAGGGGATGATTTATGCATGGTGAAAGAGAGGAGGGAGAACTTGGAAAGAGATCTGTTTATTGAGGAGATAGAGATGGCTTCTTTGGAGTTTATGGTGGAAGGGGTAGGGGAATCGGGTTCTGGGGCATAGAGAGATATTCTTTTGAGGGTGTCATGATCTTTTCAACGCCCTCCAACTCAAGCAAGATGTGGGTATTGGCTTTCAATGAAAAAGAGAGGTCTGATGATGACTTTCACTTTATCACTAGTGGTTTTTGGCAATTGGAAGTGCTTTGACCCAAGTGAAGACTGTAGCAAGTAACTGTATCTCACTTAAAATATGCAATGGTGCTCCCCCTGAAGTCATCATAGCAGGATCATGGGATAAGAAATTACAACAGTTATATGACACAGAACTGAGCTCCATTAATTATTCTCATACCCATCAGATCTGGACCTTTTTCTACAGACTACCTCGAGTTCCGCTAAAAGAGACGAGATTAACCATTATAACAAGTGGGATCACAGTTTTGGGCTGGACCCATTGGCCCCACACTTTCAATTGTTAGGGTGGACCAGTTGGTAGCAGCATGTGAGGTGTTTAAGGTAGGTCCTTGATGGGTGATGGTTGATCTGATCGAGTATGTCTCCTTCTCAAAGTTAGCTAGGAATATTGGCAATTGGAACTTATTGAGGTTTTCAGAAAGAGAAATGCCCTCAAGCTCGCTTACAACAAATTATTGAGACAAACTCATAAAGGATTAAAAAAAAAAAAGCCAACTAATCCCTCTTAGGATTGAAGTTGTTAGGTAAGATGTTGGTAGTCCTCATGCTTCATGGCCATCTCCTTGAATAATGAAAATGGGAAAAGTCCATCTCTGCACTGTTTGAAGCAAAGGTTTGTCGCCATCAGAGGGACGCTGACATAGTGGCATGGAAAATTCAGGAGTTCAACTAACATGGACCTCGGAAATACCCATAATGCACCATATAATTCTTTTCCCCTGAAGATGGTTGCCCTTGAATTATTTCATCAATTACCAAAAAAGAGAGTAACAAGAAATCTTGACATTTTGCTATATATGGATGCTAGAGGACTATTGTGCCAAAAATTTACACATGTTAAGAGGGTTATGCTGTTGAATAAACTATCTGTATATATTATTATATTTATGGTGTTTGGGTATTAATGTAACCGTTTCTGGTCACGTACTAATTTTTTTTATTTTTTGGCTAAGTACCTCGTCATTTGGCATGCTCCTAGGTGACCTGTGACTCAGAGGATGGTGGCGTTCCCTGGTGGCAAACTACCTAGGGGAGAGCTATGCCGAGCTCCCTGATGGCGAACTGCCTGGGGGAGAGCTATGCCGAGCTCCCCGATGGCGAGCTGCCTGGGGGAGAGCTATGCTGAGCTCCCTGATGACGAGCTGCCTGGGGGAGAGCTATGTCGAGCTCCCTAGTGGTGAGCTACCTTGGTGGACTCGTCATTTGCCCTGCTCCTAAGCGGTCTGTCACTCAGAGAATGGTGGAGCTCCCTGGTGGTGAGCTACTTTGGTGGACTCGTCATTTGCCCTGCTCCTAGGCAGCCTATGACTCAGAGAATGGTGGAGCTCCCTGGTGTAGTGCAACCCAACTGCCCTCTACATGAGCTGATCTTCTCTCCTTTGTGGGCGGCGGGAGCTGAGGGACCTGCAAGAACTCCATCTTTTCCTCCTCTTTGTAGGCGGCGGGAGCTGAGGGACCTGCGAGAGCTCCATCTTTTCCTCCTCTTTGTAGGCGGCGGGAGCTGAGGAACCTACGATAACTGAATCAAAGGACCCGGGGGTCTTTACCCAGTGGGGACTCTCTGATGCTTAAGTTAGCACTCTGATTGTAGATAGCTAGAGAACAGGGATTACCTCCATTTTTCTTCTTCTCTCCTTGGCTTTGAGGGTCGGAGTCCTTATATAGCGGTGCCCAGTCACATGAGGCATAACCGCCACTGCCCTAGCCATTACTGCCAGGACTGAGGTGGCAGGTGCAGGCTGCTGTTGCAGGGTACGAACTCGTCAGGCGTGCCATGCTTTTCAGAGATGGCAGGCACGATGCCGCCTGGCAAGAGATGTGGCACGATGCCATGAGGGAGACAATGGTCTTCTGGCACCGTCGGTTGCTGACAAAATGGGATAGAAATAGATTGGCGAATTACTCCCACGAGCTTATGGACGGAGGTGGGAGCTTGGAGAACCACCGGTGGGTTGATCCCTTGAAGGTCACCTAGAAAGCTCACCACGTCAAGGTGTTAGAATACCCATAAAGGAGCATGAGCTCTCAAAAGCTTTCCAGGTGGTCATTCAAGTCAGTGGTTCAGTCGTATATCTCCAAAGTGGGAGCCTTAAAGTGAGGTGGAAGAGGCTTCGTGGTGATGAAGTCGATGAAGGCATCCATTCTATTGGACGAGGGGTTCTGATTGGCAAAGGAACCGATCTACACCTGTAGGTCGACAATCCTTTGATCGATGGGATCTTGGGCCTCATCCTAGTCCTCTCAGACGCGAAATGGGTTGGACCGGTTCCTAGAGTTCTTTGACGTGGGCACGTCCTGGTTCCTTCAGGCTTGTCGGTCGTTGAGGAGGTCACAGAGGTTTGACACATGTGAAGGATAGGCATGGCGTCAGCCTCCAACCCTCAAAGAGGAACTATAGTGGCCAGAGTGCCTGCCTTCATCCCGAGGGCTCTCCACTCGGTAATGTTGTTTGTGGTCCCAACGGTTGACACGAGACCCTACTGGATCTCCCCCCCCCCTCCACTGGCTGGGGAGGAAGGAGGTCTTCCAAAGGGATGGAAGTCTTCAGTTGAGCAACAACGGATCTCCATCGGTGTAAATATTCTGCAAAACTCTCTTCAGGTGACTTTTGCATGCCTTCTATTGTCTCTCTTGTTGGAGCCAAGTCTATGTCATAATCATACCACTCCAGAAAAGATGTAGCCACTTGGTTCCAAGTCTTCTTCTTATCTACTTCAAGCGATGTGAACCACGCTAATGCCTCATCCTCCAAACTCCGTTGGAAAAGCTGAACGAAGACTCTCTCATCTACCCCAAGTTAAAACATCTCACCACAGTATGTGCTCAAATGCACCCTAGGACAACCTCTTCCATTATACTTTTCAAAGTCTGGGATTTTAACACCTTTTCGCAATTCTAACCCCGAGTATATGCACACTCACTGAAATCTAGTGCAAGAGAAGAATGAGTATGCTTTAATTTGGTTATATCTTCACAGTTGGGATCAACGCACAGTGACAATGTCATTCTTGTTGAATGTTGGTGTTGATCACCTATCTCAATGTATGATTCTATGGGATTCTCTAATCTCAACCACATGATGTACTCCAAATCCGGTGTCTTAACCTTTTTGGAACTAGATGCCATGGTCCTGAGGTAACTTTTCTAGTTCAGAAATGTGATTGGCAGTTCCATCTTTTATTATTTTTTTGCTTTATTTTCTCTTGTTGGCTTTTATTAAAAATTGGACAACCAAAGGGAATGAGAAACTTCTAAGGGCTATGTAGTGGGAGGTTTTACCTAAGGCCACTAAGGCGGGATATGCAGAATGCTAAATGTATGTGAAAACCATGCAATGACAACAAAATGTCAAGAAAACAACGGTAAAATCGGCCTACCCCTAGTTCGGAACCAGATGGGGTGAACATCCAGGCAAATAAAGAAATATGCATGAAACTGGGAGTGGACCAGCCACTTATGAATAGGGTTGGCTGCTATGAACGGGTTATTTAATCAAAGATTCTAAGAGTATTAGTGGAAAAGGTGGATGTCAAGGAGCTAAGTGTGAGGAATGTTGGTTTATTAGGCTCTAATTGCATTAGAACGAGAACGAGCAAAATTGGGATGGTAAGGAGTAGTTGTTTAGGACGATGGCTCAGGATTGCTCTATGGCCAGAAAAGCTGCTAATGCCTCTATAGTTGACTAAGTTGAAGGAAATGCAAAATGCAATATGACGCAAACGAAGTGAACCTCTATCATGAAATGCAAAAAAAAAATAGGGAAATACTTTCAAAACATGCCAATAACTGCAGAAAAACCCGATTCTGATAAAAACACTTACATTATGCAGTTTATTTGGGTTACCACGAGTTAGAACAAAACTCAAATTATTTTTTTTCAATTCTCACTTTAAGAAAGAACATAAGCAATCAGCAACTAGCATGCATGTTTCATTCAAGAATATGTAAAAATTTCATTTACCCTTGAACTTGCAACCATAACCAAAGCATACAACATTTTACTGATTAATTTTTTTATCTCAGATTATTCTTCTTTCTTCTTCCCTTTGTGTTTTTTTATCTTATTTTTATATACTTTTTTCTTTTCTTTTGGTTTACTTTTCTGATTTTTTTGCTTTTGTTCTCTCTTTTTCTTGTTTTTTCTTTTATTTATTCTCTATTTTCTCTTTCCACCTTTTTTTTGAATTTTTTGTTTTTATTTCATTAATTTTGAATCTTTGATCAATTTTTTTACCCTCCTTTTATTTACTTTATGTTATCATTTTATGCGGGCCTCGCATGACTCTTCT